GAGGTCGGGTTGAAGTTCTTCTTCTATAGTTGTGGTACCACCACGTACCTATGTGGCATGTGTTTACTGTTTATTTCTTCAGTCTTCGAAATTTTTACTGTCGATTAGAATATGTATGATTGTGTAATCCACACTCGCATGATTCACATATGGAAGAGTCGTTTGCTATGTTTTGTTTACCTTTATTAGTTTATTATTCAATTATTTATTTTATTATAAAGTGGGTAGTGTAAAATGTTTAAATGTAAACTATAATTTTATTATATTATGAATAGTAATATTGTATAAATAGTCTTATGTTTTATATGCAACGTTTTGAATTAAATTTTTTGATGTTTTAAGTACAACGAAAAAGAAAATTAATTTTATCTGCAATACCCAGTGCTGAACGGTGGCGTTTCGCTTTACCACCATATTCTTATATTATTATACCTTGTAGAGCTTCACCAATCCCCCTAAAAACACTATTTGTGCTTATGTCCGGGATACTAAATAATAAATATATCTAGAAACAAATCCATGATATTTTCAAAGGGTAAAATTTAAATATTTTTACCTAGTATAGGTACCCAGGTAAAAAGTAAAGAAAATATAGCACTATTTAGGTCTGCTGCATATATAATATAGTACCTACTACCTATAGGTTTGGACGAAACCGCACGTAATTGAGTAGAACATGTAATAGATGTGTTAAATTTAAATTGAATGATATATTATCATAATGCATACATACAATTTACAAAGAACGAGTTGAGAATGAATTGAAACAATCATATAATATTATTATGTATTTATGTCAGCCAATATTGACTATTTATGTATTATTAGTTATTACTATATTAGTTATAGGTACACGTAGGATGTAGCCACGTAGGTTGAACACATTTTTGACAAAAACATTGCATATTATTATGTTATAATTTTAATATTGTATATATGATCACAATATATTATTAAGACTGTCATTAACTTATACCTAAGTCAGAAATTATGAACCTGGATTGTAGTTAATAATATAGTTATAGGTTCAACTTATAGGTACCTATACGGTTATACGGCTATAAGGCTATACAATGTGTATCAGAAGGTTGACATGACTAATACAATAACTTTTTCATATGCCTAGTCAATATTTTAAAAATTGTTTTTTTTTTAATTATTTTATAAATACTTGATATATATTATATATATAAGTATAGTGTACATATTTTCATTTTTATTTCAATCTAATATTAAAGCTATACAACACTTACGAACGTAGATTCGCTTTACATATTATACGTTTTTTTAAGACGAAGATAAGCGACAACATAATATTTGTCATCGCAGTCTTATACTAATGTATTATAACTTGTGAAATTTCAATGTGTATAATATCAATTTTCATATCATATCGCATTATACACTATATCTGTGGTGAAGATAATTTGCCAAAGGTCAGTCCATACGTCTAAAAATATATATTTTATAGATGAGGAAACGAGGTACATCGTTTATTTTAAATTTAAATTACTTGGTAGAAATGTTTTCTTTTTAGATGACTAAAACTTATGATGGCTTAACAAATAACGTGTTTTCAATATTTAATATTTAAATGTGTGTTTCCAATAGCCTTGGAATGTTATAGACTATAGACGAAACAGTTATACATTTATAAAGTCTCAAGCAGAAATAGACTTATGTATGTCCGTGTGTGTGCGTACGTTTTTACCATTGCAATGTTTGTGGCAGTATCGTCCTTCAAAATACTACGGCAAAAATAATAAATAAAAACTTTGGCCAAAATAATGGGAAGTGTTAAATCCGAAAATTGAGTCTTCAATCATTTTTATTATCGCCCACTCGTGTTCCTCTATAGTTCGTCGATAAGATAGAAAAATATATACGATAAGATACACTCCCTTATTCTTGTTCGCCATTTTTTCCCCTCCTCTTTGTACACTCTCTTCGTCTTTCATTTCCACAACATACACACGGACGGTATAAAATGTCGTTTAATGAACAGAGAAAACCTTCTGACCGAAAGCACCTGTATATATAGTATATACGTGTGTGTGCGCGTGTCTGTGTGGCTGTGTTTACGGTTATTTTTTCTCTCATCCCTGTCTTTGTCGTTCTCTCTCTCTTTCTTTCACTGCCAAAAGTCCATCCATAAAACATTAGTTTCAACGAAAAGGCGCCCGGTGAAGGGAACTGCTAACTTATGGATACTGATGACTTCGCTCAATGAGCTCTACGGACCATATTTCAAAAAAAAAACCTATATACACACACACACATAAACAGAGTGCGGTGAAAGCTTCTACTTCACGTTTCTTTCCGCATGATAAACTGTCTGTATGACAAACACAACCGAACTTTTCCAAGTATCTGGTTGACGTTTTATGGGGTTAAAATAGCAAAAAGGGCGGTAGTTGCAGCCATGATATGTTTGTGTACTCGAAAACAAACGGAATAACTTCTTGGAGTCGCTTGTTGTTTATTTTTTAATTTCGTCCAATGGGTGGTCTGCCTGTTTGTACACGTGTTTTTATCAAAAGTAAAAAGTAATAACAGTATCTATATTGAAACTCGAAAGCATTGAACGATTTCAAATACAAATACCATGATACATTGAAGATATTATAAATATAATGTATAGTTAATTAACTACCAACCTATTACTCTTCAGTTCAATAGAAAATCTCAGAACGTTATCTCTGAAGGTTTTAGAAACTTAGTTTTGTAAACTCATTTTATATTTATTAATTATATGTTTGGGTTAGGTATATAACCTTTGTAAATTAATTTTGAATAACACTTGTATTTAATTATATTTAAAATGTTTAAAAATAAATGTCTATGGTTTCATAATATACTGCAGTCATTTAATAGATATAGTCTTATATAGCTGAATTATATAATAGTTCATCTAAATACTAATCCTTATAATAGATCTCAAATTATTATTTTCATAATAATTCAAATATTGTTCGAAATATACATGGCATGAATTATAGTTTGCTATCTTTGAAAAGTCATAAAATAAGTCCTAAAAATTTGTATTAGGTTCACTTGAATTCAGTTATTGCATAGCCTATGTACAGCATAAGAATTATAAATAATACTTATCTCTGTAGAAGATTTTTATTTTATATTTAATAATATATATATTTACAAATAATATGGTATTATTTGGTAGAGTTGGTACTCAAAAACAAAATCCTAATTAAAATCTAAAAACATGTAGTCTTATAAATTAAGCAATTATATTTTTAACTACCTATGTTAGTTTAACTTACCTACATGTTTTATGTGAGGTAAGTATATACTATCTAGTACCTACATGTCATTACGAGGAAGTCTTTTTATAGAGCCTTTATTTAATATAAAAGTTTTATTTTATGTTATTTGGGATGTATACCTGCGCTTGTAAACGTGTACACAAAGGTATTAAATACATTTATTATTAAATGCACGTGTAAAGCTAACAATGAAATCGTTTTGTTTATTATATACATTTTTCACGGTTTTAGTAACTACATTTTAACTTGATGCATATCCCCCCTCACACCACCCAAAAAATAAAACGGAAAAAATAAACTTTATTTTATGCTTCATGTCAACTGCTCCAACATAACACAATAAAAGTATAAATGTTCACGGTAGTAGTGACTATCCCCAGTAATCCACTATATACATTTTATTATCAGGCCACTTAGGGCAATAATTATACGAATTTCTCCAAAGAGGGTTTGTCGGTGTTTTTTTTTTTTTTAATTAATGCAAATGGATTCACCATATATAATCTATTATATTATTGTTCCACATTTCAGAGGTCAGTGTGTAATGACGGAAATGGAGACCCACGTCACACACCGGGCCGCCCTTGTCATCTTTTAACGGATATAAAAATAATTGTACTCGCAGTGAAGTATAAGTGTATAATAATAACTAATATATTATTATTACATATTTTAATACACGTGCATTTTTTTTAATCCAAAAACCATTCATCCACTGCAGTATCGCCGCTTAAAATTCCCATATTATATAATAATGTAGGTAAAACAATTACATATATAAGTATATAACACATATGTATATAAATATATAAACATATAGTATAATAATATAACTGCAGCTTAATATTCCATGTATATAATATTATAATAGTTGTAATTTATTATTTTAAATAATATTTAACAACAATAAAACGATAACGAATTCTGGGTTTTCAAATCTTCATCCTGGCCCGACGCTTAGCCGGTCCCGATTATACTATTATTATTATAACGCTTTTTTTTTATTGTATTTTATTTAATGCGCTTGTGAGTCCTTCGCTTGAAGTGCATATACTAGTGCGAGTGTCGGTGTGAGCTGCAAATCTGGCATCCGGGGGTGTTATCGAGACTCGTGTGTATGCAAATAGGCCCGCTTACATGAATTATATATATAGAGAAAACAGTGTTAATTTTCCCACGTATCGCCTTCATCCGATTATTAAATAAACACACGTATATATTATATACGTCAACAGAAAAGTGGGAGAGTGTGAGCTCGATTCCAGTTCGTTGGATTTTATGCATAAAATAAAAATAAACCCGGAAATCGAGTAGGTACCTATATTATACAGACTTGTTTTAGAGAACTCTATAGTATATTATAATGCTAAGGCATGAGCTATATTATATGTTAATAATATTAATAATAAAAAATAACCATTTTATAGATTTCAAAACAAAGTTCTCTGTAAAAACAGCTTTTAAATTGTCAATAAAAAAAATTATAAACCCCGCACTTGTGTATATAGGTGTGTTTTATTAAAACAAACATATTGTGACGCACATTACAATGAATAATAAATAATTACATTCGTTTTGATACACGTCGAGAAAAATATTCATTTGTGTTGTCTGCAATGATACGTTAAAAAAATTATATAATTTAAAATGCTTATAATTTATTTTATTATTATTTATTATTTTTGTTAATACATAATTCGCTATACATATAGTTTATAAACTATAAATACATTCAATGAAATAAATAATTATTTATTACCATTAATAATATTTCTATTCAATTTTTCAATTTAACCATTACTAAATTGAAGCCTCACACCACGGTATGGTAAGAATGTAAAAATGAGATATAATTTAGTTATTATTAAACCTTGTATTGGTTTTTTGTGCACATTTTTAATTCCAGATATTAAACTAGGAATAAAATATATTTCCGTTTATTCAACTATATTTACTTTATACCAACGTTAAATCAAATACGTAAAATCTGCAATATAAATGAATAAGTCGATGTTTCTAAAGTGAAATAGAAAATTTCAATTTCAAATAATTGTTTTACCTACATTTAGACTTTGTATACTTATATACTATGTATATTATCAGAATAAAATACACTCGAAAAATCTAGAGGGTATAATATACCTCTATCCATCTACAGTTCACTGCATAGAATAGTTTAGGGTCTTTTTTTATATTTAACGCCTACATTATAAAATTAAAATGCAAAAATATTATAGTATGATACCATATATTTTGTGATTAAGTAAACCAACATAATTTTTTCTGTAAAAGTCTAACGGTAAAATGTTACTTTCTATAAAAAAAATTGCACTTACTATTTACTATTTAGGTACCTACAGTTACAGTAATTGTATAGAAATGAAGTAAAAATTCGAAATTACAACCTTATACCACGAGTTATGAAGTACTTGAGAACTGAAGGTGGAAAAATACCTAACGCATGGGAAATGGTACGCGAATGGCCGGGGCGGGTGTATATACTTGGCACCTAATTAATATATTTTTTGGCCTTTCTTTCGGACCGCGTACTTAACCTAGTATATATAAATACATATATATATATATATATATATATGTAAAGTAGGTACCTAGTATATATATTATGTATAAATTATATTGCAGCCAACCACACGAACTAAATAATTACGTTTTAATCGAACCCTCATGCTGGCAATGTGTATATATATATAATAGAGTGGTGTAGTAATAGTAATTAACACGCGCGTTTTGACAGCCATAATCTGTCTTGGGCTATGGGAACAAAAAATGTGTGTTTGCATTATATTCGAAACTGGAAAAACGAATCGGCCTTGAGTAATTTTTATTCTATTTCAACAGAAACCGTGCGTATATACATTTCTACGCCACAGACGTGGTGTGAGAGTTCTTATGAAGAAAAAAAAAAAATAAAAATAAAAACACGATGATGGTTATCTGGATATAGTGAGCGACCTTTATGTCGTTAATCATTTTCGGACGCCGGTAATTATTGCGGAATTCGCATTGTATGCGTAGTAGAATGACTTGCGATGACGGGGGCAAAAGGAAATGGCCGAGCAGGAAAAGTCTTGTGCTCGTACATAATATAATATACCTATGAGCACCTACCTATGTTACAGTAGTGCTGATTATATAACAATATTCAGGAAATCAAAAATGTTCTTTTGTCGACTGTCGTACGCACAATGCAATTTTGTCCTCATGCATATCTGTCGCAATAATATTGATCGCATGCACGACTTTTAGTCGGATTGAATTTTTCATTATAAACATTGTATATACCTATTCCCTTACATACATTTAAATTATGAGAGCCAATTCGCGAGTAGGTACGGGGTAGTGCCGGTATGGCCGTATCCTACGGTTTTTATTTTATTGCGGTAAGCCTCCACATTTTACTACTCATACATATTATAATTGGTAAAATGTGATTTGTGAACTAAAAGATGGTTATATTTCAATCGCTAATCGTTTGATAGCACATTTTGAATAGATTTTTATTGGAAAACAAATATTAAAGTTGACAATTAACGTGGTGAGACATTATAACACGTATGGTTATACCTACTGTATAAGCGTCACACCTATATAATCAAATAATAACAAATTGTGCGTTGTGTTAAAAATGTACAGTCGTGTATAGTGAGACGAATAGTTTGATGTATAATATGAATAGTATTATAATAGGTATATGCACACACGATGAAATCTCAACGACAAAAGTATTGATGGCATCGACAGCGTTGCAGGTATATGTTATGACTTATGAATAAGAGAATATCACTTGGAAACCACTCTCTGTCGTCCTTTCGAATTTATTTTTCAAAGTAAAATATATAGCTTTACACTATTTCCAACAAGTATATATTAAGTATCAACCTGTTTATAAAAGTTTTCCACGAAATCGGTTTAGACGCGGATACATAGAACTTTTGGAAAGGTACCTGTGTGTGCACCGGGCAGGAGGGTATAGGAAAGGTATATCCACTCGTATTGGATTTACGCGGCAAAAACTGAAAGTATCTAAAGTACTCTCATTTTTGTCACCTATCTTCCCGCCTCAACCCACTATATTGTCATCATTTCCGTGTACCCATACGTATTTCTGTATACCGGACACATGCATAATTTATGTCCTCCGTATCCGGTGTGTGTGTGTGCGTGACTTGTGATGTGTGTCTTTTCATTCTCCCGACCTCGACTATACATGCCTTTGCGTGTTTATCCCAAACTACGTGGGACGTTTTTCCTTTTTCATGCTACATATATTCCTTACACTTTACACAGTGATACCTATATAATCTGAAATTTATCTAATGTACCTGGTATCTACTACTTAGATCATCTGATATAGCCTGCTGCAGTTCATAAATTATATCAAAACGGCATTTTTACGGACGTCGTTTTTGCTTGTGTTTATAAATACAGATTGTAAATTCTCATAAATAAAAAAAAACTTTACTCGCTTTTAATATAATATTATATGTATCACATAATAGGTACCTATATACACATGTTAAATGATTTTAGATTCAGCACCTATGTGAGTAAATCGCATACGCATTTGAAGGGTTGATTCCGATTAAGGTTGTTTGTCGTTTGATGCTGAAACAGTATCTTGCTCAGCTAAATTCTCAAATTATCCATCTATTTTGATTTAGTTGGCTTCAATAGGAGGTTAAAATAACAACAATTACTAGTCATTTCAAATAATATTATATAAGTAATTGGATTTGATTTTATATCCGGTAGTAGTAAAATCTACATCGATAGGTTTATTTTTAAAGGACACAGCTTTTCTGTGCGATCACTATCTTAGGTTCGTCCATATAAGAACTATCCTTGGACGCCGGTTACTCCTACAGCTCCCATAACCTATAACAACTATCAACTTCAAAAATTCACAATATTATACAATGTTGTAGGTATATTATTGGAATATTTTAATCAGATTTCGTGCAGAATATCGCGCATGGAAACGAGCGTTTTTTCCGTTTATTTTTTGCATATACCAATCCACTTTTTTCAGGAAGAGTATACTATAATACATGCTATATACTAACCCATATATTACATCAGACGCGAAGGGAACTCTTTCTCAGATTTCGATAATATTTTACAACATGGGACGGTAAAACAATATAATACGAGTATTATAGTTTAATAATATTGTCGTCTTAGCCTGCCCCCCCCCCTCTGAAGCTTGTCCACAGTCGTTCTGCTGCGGAACCGTTTGAGTTGCCACTGCGGCTGACGCTGCTGCCGGGTGTCGTGTGCGCCATGTGGCCCGGGCGGTGTGTGGGACCTTCACCTGTTTCCTCCGCGCCCGCATGAATATGTATGAAGAAAACGGCAGAATGTATCCGGCGCTGTGTGTTACGGAATAAATTATAAACGGTTCGACTGCTTTTCGACGGTTTTAATTCAATTCCACGGGCCCGTGACAATATTAGTTGTATATTATTTATATATATTTATGTATATATATATATATATACACACGTGTGTATATACACAAGAACATTTCGCAAGCTGTTGCTTCCGAAAGCCACGCAAACCTTCGTAATTAAAAAAAAAAACGTATTGTTTAAAACTTTTGAAAAGTTAAAGCGGATCGTGTACACGGATAGTATTCGTCACTGTGTATACGATAGCGTACCAATGCAGTCGTACTGGTCGGCAGGTTGGGTACAGTCAAACACGATGTGGAATTGAAATTCGCTTGTATATATAGTTTTATATTTTGTAATTTTCAAGTCGGTATACTAAGGTACTATATTATATTAGATGTGGCTCTTAAACAGAGATCGGAATTATAGATTTGTAGGCATATGTACTGTGAAATAGTCTAAATAAAAAGAGGAAAGGGCGAGAGAGGAATTGGCATAATATATAGTCTTAATAAGTTCGGCAAAGTCCATGTGCTTAATTATTATGATCATACACTTCATACTATTTTTTTACGCATCCAAAGTAATATGTAAATCATTTTATGGTGAATATATTATACATCTATTAATATATTATACATCTATTAATATATTATATAAGCATATAAAGTAGGTATAAGAACTACATATATATGTATACTAAGTATTATAAAGCAAAATCATTGATTGCTAACAATTTTTTTTTTATATCACCTCTATAACTTATGCTTATTTTTACTCAGTTAATTTCTATCAAAAAAGTTATATTTGTCTTGATATTATTTTAATTTTAGTCTGTGGATAAAAAAATAAGTCTCGGTGCATAGTCTTATAAACTGCTGTCTGAGCATCAGGTAAGATTGTACATATTTATAGCTAAATTAAGATAGAGACAGTTCAACCAAACAATACCAGAGTATAGTACTACGAATCCGAATGCTTCGAAACTTCGAAATTATTCACTAAATATGATACGCAACATACAAACGACATTGTTATGAAACGAATTTATACGAAAACATTGTTGCGTACACAACATAAATTACCATTAATATTTATTAGTCATTACTCATTAGAATAGGTATGCTTAATTAAAACTACAATGTTACACAGTGAAATGGCTTCGTGGTTATCTTAACTATTTTAATAACCTAACCAAAATACTTTAGAACAATAAAACTGCAGTCAGTCACTGCGAAGGAAATATTTTATATTTTTAGACTTTTATTGATTTTGGAAATATTTTTTTTTCACTTTTCAGTAGTCACGGCATTCTGTTTCCGTGTACAAAAGCAATGTGCACTTTTCAGGTTATTACCTATATAGATGTGTATACGTAGAAAACCCCTATACGAAAACTCGTACAGTTTTTT